ATTACCGTAAATATATTAAAGTCTAGTACTGTATTGTACAGTATGTATCACTGTATACTTATAATAATTTAGATTATTAAACAATTTATGAAAATTACTAAATATTGGACAAATAGTTTGCAATTTTCGGTATAATGATTGAACCGGAAGTGTTGACCGACAGACCATCGAAACGGTCTAAAATTGATAAAATGTATCATTTGTTATACATTAGTGCATCCATTGTCATAGGCTTAGTGTTAGGCATAAGTCTTACTTATGTGTTAATGAGGGATAATCACAGACAACAATTAATAGACAAATCGGTGCCTATTGACCACCAGTCCATTCGTCAAAGTCTTATGAATGCCATCGATTCCAATAGGATTGGCGTTTGGCTTAAGTCTATAAATGATTTAATTTCTTGTAAATTATTTAATATAACTTTGTTGTATTACAGGAAACTCAGTGGACAGCCTATAATTGGAGAACAGCACGCTATAGATAACAACACTCTGTTTGTCTACAATATATGGTTAAACCAAGGATTGAATGTGACCCTGGCAAACTATACTGTTCTCATGTCTTACCAAATGCCAAGTAAACCAAATTTGGTAAGATTTCTAGACATATCCATTCAAACATTTGAATACGATTTATCATTTATGTTAAACCAAAAGGTTTTCAAATATGACAAAACAAATCATTTGATTTACACTTCGAGTCCATATGAAGACCCGTTGAATGCAACGGCAGATGAGAGAAGTTATTACACATCGAACCCACCGTTTTTGGCCTTTTCTAACTCAACCGGTAGTCAGCGACTCAAAGGACACATCGTTTATGTGAATTATGGCAGAGATGAGGACTACGACTATTTGAAGCAACACAACGTGTCTGTGTCCGGACATATAGTGGTGGTCAGGTATGCCAAGATATTTCGCGCCAATATTGTCAAACTGGCTGAGGATAACGGGGCCATCGGTGCCATCATATACACCGATCCCTATGACTACACCGATGGTGACCAAAGCAATACATATCCCAAATCAGTGTATTTGCCTAAATCTGGTGTCCAAAGGGGAACCGTACGAATGGGCGACGGCGACCCACAAACACCTCTCTATCCCTCCATAAGTAAGTGATTATAAATGTGACCACTTTATAGCAATTGTTTTAATTGTCTTTTGAGTTATAAATTAACTATACTTTGTTTTATTGATCAGAGAGTGCCTATAGATTACCAATGAATGAGTTGCAAATGCCCCGAATCCCCGCCCATGCCATCAGTTATTTGGACGCAAAGTATATATTGCATGAACTCAATGGTATGAAAGCACCGGATGGTTGGGTCGGGGGATTGAACATTACATACAACTTAGGGCCCGGATATAAAGATAAGGGTTATGTTGAACTCGAAGTGAATACATATTTGTGGCACAGCATTTCGCAACCTCTCCTTACGGATAGCTATTCCGTACCTAATTGTAAGTATAAATAGCATCATATTATTGCCCTGTTGTATGCCATCACCTGTCATACTTTTACTGTCAATTTATATCACTGTCATATATTTAGTTATAGTACCGCACACTGTACAGTTATATTTCCCTAGAATGCTCAATTCAGATACAATATATCAAATGTTATCAATGATACATTTATTGCCACATTCACAACAATATAAAATATGATAATAAAGTTATCTTATATAATTTATGAACTCACAGTATAAAAGGGCCAAAAACTATCATAAATGAGAGATACAGTGGTATTAGAAATATATTTGATGTCATGATTCGGATGGCATTCAATTTGTGGGACAATTAGATATACATTCAGTCAATTGATTACAAGTCCACTACATATGGATAAAAATATGATTATTGGCATTTCTATTCGATTTCTATATACAAACCATAGAGCTTATAGTTATAAAAAACACTTCAAACCTTTCTTAAGGATATTTCCTTCATATGTATGTAATTATAGTAATTATAATAATATAAAAATTACAAAATATACTTTATATAGTGCTACAAGGTACCATAATAAAGGCAAATTTTAATTTAAACAATTTATTGATAAATGCAATCATATTAATTAGTCATAGTGTAATGCAAATTGTTATTGAATAACTAATTGAACTTATTTTAAACCTTGTATAATATTCTAATTATTATAAGAAAATCATTTTCTATAATTTCATAAGAATTCACTCAAAGGATACCGTTATATCATTTCATTTGTTTGACACCAATACTAATACGTTTACAATATTACTGCAATATTAGAGTCACACATAGAGTTGCCAAACTTCCAGTGTTGGCCTGGAGTCTCCAGAAACCCTGATCTAACTCCAGCCTCTAGTTTAACCTGGAGGTGTGGATCTTAAGGAAATAAATTCAAAACAACTCAATGCTTTATATATGAAATTTTTAACAGATCGATCTATTTACTGAATTGTTTAAAAGATGTTAATGTTTAATATAAAATATAAATAATTTTATGACACTAGAATTTAATTATTCTAAATTTAAAAATTTTATTAATGAAAATTGAAGATTATTAAGGATATATTTTATTTGGTATATTTGGGGTAGAAAATGTTGAATAATTGTATTTTAATTTGTTTTTCTGTAATTAACTAACATGTTTGTTTAATTCTTTAATAATATTTCTCTAAAATTATAAATTAATAAATATTCATATCTAAATATAACAATTATTCTTAAGATTTTGTATTAAGAATGAAAAAATCTTTAAAATACTACCATGAAATTTTAGGAGAAATGACTTTCCTCTAGGAACCTTTAGGAAAATTATTCTGAATTACTTCATATCCAGTTTAAAAACGTTAGTGGCAACCCTAGTCATACATATGAGTGTAGATTGAGTATTCAGTATTGATAGATTATACAGTATTACTGTACGTTTAGAGCATTATTTAATACATAGTGAGTACAGTATGCGTACAATTGCTGTCAAACAAAAAAAGTTTACAAATTGATGCCACACTTTGGAGCCTAATTTGAATTCAACTCATTTCGTATTTTATATAAATTGTTGTATTGACAATTTGGTAGATTATTTGATAATAATGGCACATTGGCACATTATATACTACTGTATATAATAATATCTATTATTTAAATGATTGGTAAATGAATTGTTTACCATGCAATATGTTTGTAATATTGTAATATTAAATGAATTACTATTTTCAATTAAAAATTATTGATATATAAAATATAATTTATTTATATAACCTATTTTATAGAGCTAATTATTAAATATATAATTTACTTCTTTATTACTCAATCTTTTAATTGTAATTGATGATTTTAAATAAAACTCAAGTTGTACTAATTGTATGAATGAATACTTACAGCAAATATGGTCCTAAAGTAACCCCAACTGAGAGCACTAATGGAATTCCAAATATTCTTGAATGCATTACTTTGTTTGTTAATACAGTATTCATCATAAATACTGTATTGTATAATCAATTAATATTGTGCTCGTTTCAATATAAACACAGCATATTTTATTATTAATTAACACACAATTCAATAGAAATAGTATCTAATAAACAATTCATTTACATGTACTTTATATACAATATGAATATTAAATTAAATGGAAAACAATTTTGACTAACATTTCAAGCGAATATGTATTAAAAAATATGATATAATAGTGTATTGCATAAATTTATAATTAATATTAAATGAATTATAATTTTAAAAATAAAACTAATGACTAATGAATTAAATAAATTGTAAGTAAGATCTGAACAAAGATGATATAAAACAGATCCTATTCCATAATATACCATAACTTACTATGTCACACTATTACATAGGACTGTAATAGACATACTGTATCAACAATTCCCATATTAAGCAGAAGTCAATAAATCAATAAATTTAAAACTATAACCTTGAATAAATTTTCAACAATTAACTGAACCTTATTATTATTAAGAATTTATAAAAAATACATGTTAATATAAAATATCATTAAAATGTAAATTAAAATGATTGAAAATCTAATTTTTAAAAGGAGGTTTCTAAATCACATGTTACTGTATTAATAGTTTTTCAAAATAAATATGCATTAAGATTTTCAATATTATAATTATACACGTGGAAAGGTGGTAACAATCAAAATGTTTGACAATGTCTAGAATATACAAAAGTTGTCAATTAAAATGTGTTATTCGTTAATACATTATCAACACTTGCACTCAATGTTCAGTACAGTACAGTATAGTCTTGTTAACATGTCTATTCTCACAGGGAGTCAATTTACCTCAAAATCCCGGAAATGAAACCCCAAAAATTGAAATCCCAAAACTCATATTCCCGAAAATTAGAACAATTATATAAATAATTAAAATTACTTTTCCAGAAAATAAAACTTATTAATACTTAAAGAATAATTAATTATCAGTTAGTTAATGTTGTATTTGTAGTAAAACTGAGCCAAGAATTATTATTTGAATAGTTGATGAGGTGAGGTATTTACTTACTAATATGACTTTAATTAGCTTTTAAATAATTATTCTAATAATATCAATAAATACATTAACTAAAGTAAAAACTATACTGATATTATAATTTTCGAGATGAGTTTGGGGATTTTGATAGATACGATTGTGACATATGTTCAATTTAATGCTTATCGTTAGTTTGGACACACTTTTCATGTCATGCCTAACATGACTTCTATTAATGCCAACTTTTCACCACATGTACTTATCAAGTCATTTATTTATTTTAATTGATTACAATCAATGAAAATGTTCAATGTTTAATGTAAGCTGTGTAATCAAAACCAACTAACTTAGACTGCAAACTACTTGTATTCAACTCAATCTAATCATTTAAACTCACCAATATATTGAATAATATGTTTGTACAGTATTTGTAAAGTAAGTTTAATAGTTAGTTTAGCAATAAAGTAATTGCAGAATATTCTTGAATTGACTTGCATTTGACACACAGTATCATAATATACAGTATATGAAGTACAGTACGGCACTATCTTGACAGTGATCACATTGAACCATGGTCTCTCCAATATACAAATCTCGAACTACATCACCATCACCTAGAATCTATTTACTAGGTCAAGGAACCAAGTTTAATGCATAGATCTTACCAAAATTGATAAGAAATTATTAATAAGAAATAAAATTAAAATAGACCCTTTTTATTATAAGATAAGGCTTATGACTCATATTGATTATCAATTTAATACTGTACTAGAAAGTGCTAACCCTTTTGACCCCACATTCTTACTTCACTGCATTACACTAACTTTAATACATAAGCATTGAGAAGCTTGCTAATTAATTAAAACTAATTTTAATAATTTAGTGGAATTTAGTTTTTAATGAAATTAAATCTAATTATGATACAGAATACAAAAATATGAGCACAAATGCTAAATATTACTTTTGATAAGTGATCCCTATTGTTAATTCATTTAATATTAATATTGAATGAGTGCTTATGGTTTGAATGGACTGCAGATGTCTCTGAGTTGGCACTTGTTGTCACAAAACACAAACATATGATTGTTTTGACGGCTATTATGGCTATTAATATACTACTAGTACATGACATGTATATTACAGTTACGGCTAACAGTAAATAGTGTTCATTTGATTACAATTGTTACGATTGGTGTGATTTACGCACATTTCACTGAACACTAACCACTGTGAGAGTATTGACATGTCTTACAAGTCTTATTGGTGTCAATATATTACCGTTAATAGTAACATTGTATGAGCTTACACTTAAGTTATATGATCATTGATCAAGTACACTTATGACATTGATAATGAGCCAGATCTTTGTGATTTCATATTGAACGCATGCAATACTCCATAGTCCATATATTATAATATACCTGGATCTATTCAAATAACATAAAGTGGTACATTTGGCTTGCGGTTACGTGCAATATCAAATGTAATGATATGAGATAGGTCATATAATGGTCATATACAGTATGTGGTAACCGTTTGGTGCATTGATTTGCAAGTTTTCAATTGCCATTCATTTGATGGATGAATAACTCGTTAATAAGCGACTGACACAAAGTTTGGACACAAAGTTTGGACACAAAGATGTCATCGAAATTGTGGTCCAAATGGGAATCATATCCATTGGTGTCTTCTGTGGATACGACAGCACCGGTCACTGGAAAGAGCGACCAATTGGGTGACGACTGGTCTGACCAGGAATTGGATGACTTGTTTCAGTCACCTCTGGAGGAAGTGTTGGATTCAATGCGCTTCAGATCCTCTCAACACATCTCTCGTCACCAATGCTTCCGATCTGTGCTTTACTTAAGTCTTATATCTTTGGTGTTTGGCTTCACTTTTGGCATAATCTTCGTCACCACTTATCAGGACTTTCATTCACGTGTGCCACCAATTCACAGACAATCACCACAAACACCATCAGTTGGTCCACACCTTAAGAAGCAGTTAATGTCTTCTTATTATGAATTGAATGTTAGAAACACTTTATTTAAACACATCTCTAGTGAAGACATTGCATATAATTTAGGGTAAGATTTGGAGTTTCATTGTATGATTGGCTCATCAGTTGATATGTGGTGCAAATGATGACACCAATCACACCAATTAGAGACAATCGTTTGCTATTGGATTGGTGTTATTGTTGGCATATTTGTACATTATTTGTACCTTTCTTATTTATTAAACACTCATTTATTGTTTGCCAATTACCGTACATTTGTATCAAACTATGCTTTAATTATCAAATATAATACAATCGCTTTAACGTATAATAATATATAATAATATTATTTGCATCAGGACAGATGCATTGCATTTAATGATTAAGTTTTCAGATTTTATTTGTTCAGTTAATATATGCACACAAAATAAGTTTATTACCGTAAATATATTAAAGTCTAGTACTGTATTGTACAGTATGTATCACTGTATACTTATAATAATTTAGATTATTAAACAATTTATGAAAATTACTAAATATTGGACAAATAGTTTGCAATTTTTGGTATAATGATTGAACCGGAAGTGTTGACCGACAGACCATCGAAACGGTCTAAAATTGATAAAATGTATCATTTGTTATACATTAGTGCATCTATTGTCATAGGCTTAGTGTTAGGCATAAGTCTTACTTATGTGTTAATGAGGGATAATCACAGACAACAATTAATAGACAAATCGGTGCCCATTGACCACCAGTCCATTCATCAAAGTCTTATGAATGCCATCGATTCCAATAGGATTGGCGTTTGGCTTAAGTCTATAAATGATTTAATTTCTTGTAAATTATTTAATATAACTTTTGTTGTATTACAGGAAACTCAGTGGACAGCCTATAATTGGGGAACAGCAGGCTATAGATAACAACACTCTGTTTGTCTACAATATATGGTTAAACCAGGGATTGAATGTGACCCTGGCAAACTATACTGTTCTCATGTCTTACCAAATGCCAAGTAAACCAAATTTGGTAAGATTTCTAGACATATCCATTCAAACATTTGAATACGATTTATCATTTATGTTATACCAAAAGGTTTTCAAATATGACAAAACAAATCATTTGATTTACACTTCGAGTCCATATGAAGACCCGATGAATGCAACGGCAGACGAGAGAAGTTATTACACATCGAACCCACCGTTTTTGGCCTTTTCTAACTCAACCGGTAGTCAGCGACTCAAAGGACACATCGTTTATGTGAATTATGGCAGAGATGAGGACTACGACTATTTGAAGCAACACAACGTGTCTGTGTCCGGACATATAGTAGTGGTCAGGTATGGCAAGATATTTCGCGCCAATATTGTCAAACTGGCTGAGGATAACGGTGCCATCGGTGCCATCATATATACCGATCCCTATGACTACACCGATGGTGACCAAAGCAATACATATCCAAAATCAGTGTATTTGCCTAAATCTGGTGTCCAAAGGGGAACCGTACGAATGGGCGACGGCGACCCACAAACACCTCTCTACCCCTCCATAAGTAAGTGATTATAAATGTGACCACTTTATAGAAATTATGTTTTAATTGTCTTTTAAGTTATAAATTAACTATACTTTGTTTTATTGATCAGAGAGTGCCTATAGATTACCAATGAATGAGTTGCAAATGCCCCGAATCCCCGCCCATGCCATCAGTTATTTGGACGCAAAGTTTATATTGCATGAACTCAATGGTATGAAAGCACCGGATGGTTGGGTCGGGGGATTGAACATTACATACAACTTAGGGCCCGGATATAAAGATAAGGGTTATGTTGAACTCGAAGTGAATACATATTTGAAAGAAACGCCGATCTATAACGTGATCGGCGTTATCACCGGCTGTACAGAACCAGACAGGTATGTGTTGGTTGGCAACCATCGCGACTCCTGGACTTTTGGTGCACTCGACCCACTCAGTGGAACGGCTGCTATGCTTGAGCTGTCCGGCGCTTTCATGAACACAATCCGCAGTGAGAAGTGGTGTCCGCGAAGGAGTATTATATTTTGCAGTTGGGCTGCAGAGGAATGGGGACTCATTGGCTCCACTGAATGGGTCAGTCTCTCTCTCTCTCTCTCTCTCTCTCTCTCTCTCTCTCTCATGGATAACTAATACCGTATAACTTATACATAATTGAAACCATAGGTGGAGGAGAATGTGAAACTACTTGAGACGGAAGCGGTCGCGTACATCAATGTTGACATTGCAGTCAAAGGCAATTATACCTTTCAAGCGGCTGCCGTTCCCCTACTATACAGCACTGTATGGGATGCCACCAAAGCTGTTGCCAATCCCAATGAGAAAGAAGTGATAAAAGACTATAAAACAGTTTTCGACTCATACTTAGAGCACCGACCGTCCAAATCATTTAATTGGACTCATTTGCCTGATATAAAAAATCCCGGTTCTGGTAGCGATCACATGCCTTTCCTACAGATCTCAGGAGTTCCTGTCATTGATATGTATTATGATTGCGATGAATCGTCACATATTAAGTGTTATCCACTCTATCACACAATGTATGACACTTTCAATCTTATATCTAATCTTACGGATAAAGGATTTAAAGTAAGATTACATACAAATTGTTTAAAAAAGCATAATTTATTGTATTGTATTTCACTTTTACAGTACAGCAAAGCTTTAACTCAAATATGGGCAGAAATGTTGAGATCCTTAAGCGATTCACCCCTCTTACCCTTCCGCGATTCACTCCAATATTATCCGCATTTCTTATATCTGGCTTTGGATGACCTCAAGAATAGTAAATATAGTTATATATTTGCAAAATACAACATCACTTTAGGTATGTTTCACATTACATCCAATTCAATATACGGTACATAATATTGTGCAGTATATTAGTAGGGTAGTACATACAGTAGTGGGTATATGATACTAATTACCGGTAAATTTTAAATATTTTTAGATTTTATGTTCGAAGCTATCAATGATTTCGATTCAGCTGTCAATTGGTTCAGTAAACAAATCAAACGAATTGATGAACAAAAGTATGTGTTAATGACCACTAACTATGTTTTGATTACATTATTAGTAAACTCATCACAAATTGTGTCCCAAATTCAGTCCATTAGAACTTCGAAGAGTCAACGATATAATGATGCGTTTGGAGCGAGCATTCCTCGATGATCAGGGTCTGCCTTTCCGTAAGCAATATAAACACACAGTTTTATCTGCCAGTGCTTTAGACTCGTATAGTGGGTCCAGTTTTGCCGCTCTTTATGACCTCTTATGGCAGTTCACTCATGAGCCAAATGACAAGCTTTTGGCATTAATTAAACAACACTTATCTGTAATTGTATTTCACATCAATTCAGCCAAACTTATGCTAAAACAGACATCTGTTTAAGAAATGCGACAATAATTGTTTCATTTCATATCATGTCTACAATTTGTAGACTACAAGTGATTCACGATTTCTAGTCATTTGTCGCATATTTGAATACCAGTTGACAGTGAATACAATGTTTCAATTGCTATGATAACCTACTGTAAGTTATAGTAATTGTACGGTATTACAAATACTTCAATTTTGGTATGATATTACGGTATTGTAACACATTATTTATACGGTATACCTGTATTATAAAACTTGAAATTCATATTTTATTAAATAATTAACAAAATGTTGGTTTGTTTTAAATAAAGAGTTTTATACAGAGAATCGCAAATGCATTCATTCATTGGATCACAAATTATGTGTTTTAATAAATATAAACTTAAAACAGATTTAGTTTACAATTCATTTTCATTGAATTGCTCACAAATTGTGGTTATAGTCAACGAATGGTGGGGTTGGAGGCCAGGGATGAGGGCATGAGTGGGAAGGGATGCCAACTATTTGACGAGAGGTCTATTCTTGTCGTTGTCGTCCCCATACTTCTCCTTATATTTGCGGACTTCTCTCATATACCGATTCCAGGCGTCTGTGGGCTGACCCTCGCCCTCCTCTCCATCCGAGTCGTCTGTCTTCGGCTTCTTAATGAGACCCGTCTTCAAAGTCTTCGGACGTCTCTTATTTGGATTCACCTCAAAGTCACACAAAATACCACTTTATTGCTGACAGCACTGGGAGGGGAGGGAGGGATCACTTACCACAGGCTTACGAGATGTGCTCGAAGTGGTGGTCGTTGTGGTCGGTGTCGTGTCTTCAGTAGTCGTGTCTTTGTCACAGTCTTTGTTATCTTCGGCTGAAGACAAACACTTGTCGTTTGTATTAGCAGTGGTTTTGTGGTCACAGTTGTCATCATTGGTGTCATTGGTGTTCAACTGATGGCTATTCCTCTGCATCTGTTTAAACAACTCGAGGAATGATCCATCGTTTGCAAACTTGTTGTTCACAACAATGGGTTCTTCACTATCACTTCCCTCACCACTCATTACTCTGATATCATATGAATAGCACTTCCAGTCAATGATATTCAATGCGATGTCCACTCATTCACGGCATCCACTCGTTTGGGTCACACATACATCACGTCTCCATTTGTTCTGAATTGATGCCAATCTTCACATTGAATGCAAATTCAGTTTATTTGATGAATCAATTTAGAGGTAATACATTGTAATCTATGAAATACCTCATGAAATGATCAAGCACACTATTAATACACTAACAAACACTCATGGTCATAAAAGTTGTGAATTGAATGTCTATTGAATAGAGCGTAACGTTGTCTATGAATGACACATAATTGCATTCATTTCATGTTTACTCTGACGTTATGTTCAGAAAAGTGTGAATCAATTGAACACTTCTTCAACTATAGCCTCAAGTGATGGATGACATAGAGATGATGGACATCGAGGACAGTGCCTCTCAATCCACTCAATATCACCACCAATTGCCTCATTGTCCCAACACTGGTGTCAAGCGCTCTTTGAATGTCATGAATGGCAGTGCAAAGCGTTTGTCGCCAACACTTCCAGCACTTCCACAAGAGTTGCGAAACGTATTGAAAGCCCGAAGACGTGTTGCGCCACTAAAAGAGTGTCCATTGGATGGCAACGATAGTCTCAACAACAGATTGGTGTGTGTTTTGGACACAAATATATTGGTCTCACATCTGAATCCTCTGAAGCAATGGATTGTCTGCGAAGAGAAGCGCAGACAAGAGTCTTATGTGAAGTCAGTAGTGATTCCATGGGTTGTGGTGCAAGAGTTGGATCACCTGAAGACTGGTCGCAAACATAAGGGTGTAGTGAATGTGATTCACTTCATCAATGAACAGTTCAACAAAACCAATGGTATGTCTGTATGACTGGTGTTGAGGTTATGACCAAATCATATGAATTGTATTGTTATTGATTTGACGATAGGTTTAGTTTGCGGACAAAACACTCAAAACAAATGCAAAACTCATTCAAAATCACGTGAAGTGAAGAGAATTGAAGAGGAGGTAAATGACGACAAAATACTCAACTGTTGTCTGGATTTAAGCGCTTTTGAAGACAATGTCGTATTAGTGACCAATGATATGAACTTATGTAACAAAGCACTCATGAGTGGTGTGAATGCCATCAATTGGAACCAATTGTGTCATAAATACTCTATAAATAATGACAAGAGAATAGGTGTTGAAATGGATGTCAACTCTTCACTGAAAGACCAAACCATTCAATCCATTGATGACAACAACTCTGAGTCCAAACACAAACGCTCTAAAAGTGACGCCAATTATAGGTATTAATGATTGATAAGCATATCAAACAGTATTACTATTCAATCTAATTATAACACGTTTTCATTTTTTCCCAACAGATTATCAATGACTCAATTTGTGGATAAAAGTAGTGCAAAATCTTTAAGCGCTGGAACAACTGGAACCACTGAAACGTGTGCTTCTCATTCAAAACCTATTTCATTGTCAAAGTTTTCATTTAATCTAAAGTCTATTAGTAAGAGTCCTGTGAAACAGAAATCACTGCGAAGTGGTGCGAGAAGTTCATTGACACCCAAAAGCACGCCTACGAACTCGAGTTACCGTCCAAATAGCTGTGCTCTTGAAAGAGACGACTGTCCCCTGAAATATGACGATTGGATCAGATATCGCGATGAATGCCAAATACAATTACTTGCATTTGTTGAACGCATCTATAAAGACATTTGGGATAAGGATTGGCAGCAAATGTTGGACATTGATGTGAACAACGCGTCACTCAAAGACATTATACGACTCATACGCAAAGAATGGTTCGCTAACTTTAGCGACCGATTCAATCGCGACCCGTCTGTCAAAGAACTCATCGACCGATTGCATACGAATGCCTCCAAATCTGATGCCAATTATCACATATTTTACTCGCATTTGAAAAAGTTTTGTCTTTTATGTCAACAAAATTTGAAACAATTTTCAACTAAAAATGGATAACTCTATGACCAAAGAGTTGATGATTTGCGCTCACATCGCACTATACCATACCATATCATACCATACCATATAGGGTACTATACTTTGCCATTTGTTTTAATTTAAGAGTTTAAAGCTTCGTTTGAATGATTATATTTTAAAAATAAAATACAATAAAATTATAATAACAAATTTGATAACAATATTATCATAACAAATGTTTGAGTTAATAAAATAGTTGTCATCTACTGATCATTTATATTCAATATGGAGAATGAAGTGCACCCAAAGGGGTTCGATGTGGTGTCCATCACTGGCGGTGTGTCTAAGCTATCGTGTGGTTTGTTTTGGCCGTTTTCACTACAACTCATTTGTTGCGAATCTGAATATAAGATGAATGCATACCGTAATGAATATATTGAATACGTCAATTACATCATAAGATTACCATTGATTGGTGTCATGTGTGTTGCCATGAGTGAGGGCACAGTCAAGTAGTGTTGTTGCGAGTGATAGGCCAGTGATTCTGTGACTCCATTCATATTGATAGCGTCGGCCATAGTCAGCGGTGGGTTCATGACATACAAAGGTCCAGAATCTTTGTGCACACCATTCGGGTTATTAAAGTATGCAAAGTCTGACAAAGCACTGGTAGACACCATATTGCTATTAAATGGCAAGTCTTTGTGTTGTAGTTTTAGGCGTTCCTTCGCAGCAAAGTCATTGTGTTTGCGTCCCTTCAAGTGGTCGGTCACTATAGACCAACGATAACACAGAATGGATTCGTCGCAAAGGGTGCATAACAGGCGCTCAGTCGGCGCTTTCGGGTCAATACAGAACTGGTTTTCGATATCAAGTTTTCTTAACTTTATTAAACGCTTTTCGGGCGACTCTTCCGATAACTCTTTGGGTTTCAAACGACGCTTTCGTTTAGCTTTCGTCTGTTGCTCGCCATTTGATTCGGCGATTGGTGTGGGTGTGGGTGCCCTCAGTGGAGTAGGTGTGGCCACTGGTATGGCCGTTATCTCAGTTGTTATCGGTGTAGAAAAGAGTTCACTCTCTGGTTTGATGAGGAGTTTTGCTTTTTTTGATGCAATCCTCTCATCATTGGTTTCAGCAAAAAGTTGTCTTAAATTTTTACGCAATGTTTGATTGGATTTAAGTTTAGACTAAATTACAAAAATAGATTATTTTATTATCGTATTTAAAACAACTATAACTCACGTTTGACTTTAGATTTTGTGACATGTATTGGTCCACTTGTGTCTCGTCATCGCATATCTGCTGACTATCCTCTCTGTTGTCTTTGTGGGGTCTGTCGGCACAAGTGTTGGACTGATCGAGAAGTCGGATCTGTTGCTGAACCCACTCTTTACTCTCAATCGATTCCTTAACAGTCTTACCGCCAAACCAATCATTATTATCAGAGTCTTCGTCGTCACTATAATTGGTTACAACAGTGGAAGGGGTGGACACGCGGGACGGCATTGACAGCTCATATGACTCTAATTTACAGATCTATACGAACACATTATCATCAATATTGTTGAAAATGAATGAATGAATGAATGAAATTGATATTACATTTAAAGTACAGAAATCAGTCTTCTCTTCGTCCAGAGATTTGCATATTTTGTGGCAAACATTTGCCAAATGGTTTAAGTCGAGAGAGCGGTACAGTTGGATACAGTCCTCATACTTGTCGACAATGACTGACTTGTCATTCTTGGGCGAGAGCTCTAAGATAGTGATCACTCGCTTCAACACAATGAGAGCCCGTTTCGGTTGACACGCTTTCTTGTAGTACTTCGAGGCCCTCAATAGACTCGCCAACGACTCCCTCTTATCGTAATTGTCGCCCCATTTGAACTGAATGTCCGCCAAATTCTCCATACATTCGGCCGCAGCTGTCATTCAAAGAGTACAAACATTGTGCATAAGTTACGGTCACTTTAGTTATTAACTAAATAATAACTATTGCGGTATAATAATATCCAAATACCCTACTGTAGTTATGCTCCATTATGTTACATAACTTTAATAATGGATAAGGCAAATATTCCATCACATTTCATTAATTAAATAAAAAAGTACACTATCAAATAACTTATGTGTATACTGTACTATACACTGTACAGTATAGCAAACTTAGAGACTAAAAATTAGAGATAAAATAATTGTTATTCTCATTACTGTAATTAAATTCCGGTACATATATTACAAATACAATATTGTGACTTGTATTACTTTATTATTAATAGTGTCTGGGATTAGTTTTGGAAAGGGTTTCGATAAATTGGGATAAAATGCAATACAGTTACTACAGTACTGTATAAGCAATATGTAATGTGATTATATAGGTTGTAATGGAACTTTCATTATGCAAAATTCATATGAGGGTTCATATTTGTCTAAATTTTGCTTGTTGTTACTGTTACATTTGATTTATAAAATTGCATATAAAAATTGCTAAATAAAATAATGACAATAAAAATATATTTACAAATTATAATGTTTTAGTTATTAACAATGGCTTTACATGATAAAATATTAAATTTTAATAAATTGATAACTCAAATTCTAAAATAAAATAACTATAATAATAGTATTCTACAATATAATATGTAATTAATTTACGATAATCATTGAATTTTAGTGAATTTGTATTACTACTGTATTTGCACTAAATATGCCCTTAATGTCTAATTAATCAATGAGTTATTGTACTGTACAATATTGAGTTGTACCAGTACACTTGTACAGTATATCAGAATATAAAATACAGTATTCTATGTTCATAATCTCTTTACAATTGATATATTATACCCCAAATGCTTTAATCATTAAAAGGATGTGAATGTGAATGTGTGTTATGATAGATAGAGAGACAGTCTACAAAACATCCATTATATTGCTAGTCATACCACACATACCGTCATATATTAAAGAAATTAAAATGAGTGCTAAATCTGAAGCCATATTCGGTTTGCAATGCTTTTGGGGCTCAGAAGTCAAGTTCGGTATCTTAGAGGGTGTTATCAGTACGAGTGTGGGCTATACAGGGGGCTCCACACCCCACCCCACCTATAAGAACCTGTCAGACCATACAGAAGTGGTTAAAGTGGTGTTCGACTCCAATATAATTACATATTCGGTATGATATGATCACTATATTGTAACTATTCAGGCAATCAGTACTACAATCTATACTTGTACAGTACAGTACACTATAACCATACAATACAGTGTACAGTATTCAATACAAGTACTGTCTATGATATATGCTATAACTGTTTGATTCCTATCCTATCTTCACAGCAATTGTTGGAGACGTTGTGGTCAAGTCATGATCCGGTGGCAACTTATAAGACTCAGTACAAGTCGGCCATATTCTGCACGACTGACCCACAGAAGCAATTGGCCGAAGAGTCACTGCAAGCAAAACAGACACAACTGTCGCAACCAATTGTCACCGAAATACTGGCTCTAAATGTTTACTATTTGGCTGAACATTACCACCAAAAGTATTTCCTACGCAAACATCCGACACTACTGTCAGAGTTGGCCCTAACGGACAGCCAACTGGTGGACAGTCCGGTGGCCACTCGTCTCAACTCTTACTGCGCAGGCTTTGGATCAGTTCAACAGTTGGACAATGACTTGAAAAGCCATGGTTTGCGACTCAGTCCACACAATGAGGCACTCGTTAAAGAGCTCATCAGAGGGGGACCTAATTTGGGGGAATGTTAGCACCACTTGACCACTACTACCACTACTATTGTATTGCTAACTGTTTTGTCAATAAATAAATGCTAAACAAATAAACCACTCAATGATCACTACTTCTGAATGATAACCAAATGGCTTATGTTATGTGTGGGTTTACCAAGGAGACTCGGTTGTTCACCAGTTACCTAAACACGGTGTTCACCTGCCTGTCGAGCTTTGACCTGAAGTGAAGTAAGGATATCCCTATGGTTTGTTACGTAAGTATCAATGCCTCATTCATTGTCACAACATCTCAATCATCTGATCCATACTTCTTAATAAAGGCGTTCACGTGTTGGACAGCCCTGTCATCAGCTTTAAAACTCTTGAGCTCTTCATAGGCCCTCACTTTCATGAGTTCCGATGTCTTGATGAGTGCCCAACACTTCAATAGTCGCGAGTAATCTGTTCTCCACTTCTTGTTGGCACCACTCCTGGAGTCCATGTCTTATGTCTTATGTCTGATGTCTTGTCTCGTATGCAGTGCTCAACAAAACAATTGCTATTAAATGGCATCTAATATCTAATATGTAGGGTTCTACAAATGAAATGGACCATGCACCAATATGTCCTTGTCCGTCCTCATGACATATGTCGGACGTGTCGTTCAATTGGACGGGGCATGCATTTCATAACATAATTAGCATAATTAATTATTCATGTTATAGTGCTTAAAAGTGATTAGCAAGACAGTAGTAGAATACCTAATAATATTAAAAGCATTTCAAACATTTAATTCGTCATTATTTATAGAAATACATGAACTTTAATGTATGACATAAGGGCGCGTTTTCTTCAATTCCAATTTATACGCGTATTATCTGTATAAATGACGCGAAAGGACAAGAGTTTAATGACTATTTTCTTAAAATAAATTAAATCTATGAATACTTGACCAAGTTTTAAATTTTTATTCTATAGTACACATCAAAGTAATGTTATCGAAGAGATTAGTATAATATAAATTATAATTAATTAAATATAATTAATTAAATGGTGAAAACTGGACGGACTGACCGATTTCCAATATGTACCGTCATATCATGACATATGTCATATGCGTCATGAAAGCCGCAGACGGGTGTAGAGCTACTAATATGATGTCATTGTATTGATATTATAAGCACTGCATCACTACATGACTACCAATTCATGCATTACGTCACACATAGGGTTCCCAGTTATCACGGTTGAGGCACCAACGAAATCATTTGTCATATGATTTTAACCAAAATACTATACTGTATTTAAATCTAAATATTCCTTGAGTATAAACTCGTAATATTTTCATTGGGGATTTCGTATGTAATTAGTTTGCCAAATGTCCATTTAAGGCGTAGTCGCCGTAATGGTGGCCGAAATGTCCGTTAATTGTTGATTATATTATTATAAAAACAAGGATTTAAAGCAATTATAGGATCATTGTGTGGACCCAATGAGACAATGATATGCGGCAACAATTTTTGGACAGCCCTGTCATCAGCTTTAAAACTCTTGAGCTCTTCATAGGCCCTCACTTTCATGAGTTCCGATGTCTTGATGAGTGCCCAACACTTCAATAGTCGCGAGTAATCTGTTCTCCACTTCTTGGCAGTACTCTTGAAGTCCATGTTTTATGTCTTATATCTTGTCTCGTATGCAGTGCTCAACAAAACAATTGCTATTAAATGGCATCTAATATGTAGGGTATGTAGGGTTCTACAAATCAAATGGACGGCACCAATACGTCCCTGTCCGTCCTCATCACATATGTCGGACGTGTCGTTCAATTGGGCATACATTTCATAACATAACATAACTAGCATAATTAATTATTCGTGTTATAGTGCTTAAAAGTGATTAGCAAGTAGTGTGACCAGGTCGATAACTTGTAACACTTGAAAGATAACGCACAAATCCTTGAAAATTCTTGACCTTATTTCTTATTTAGGTTTTAGTTACATTTATTTTGGAGTATTGGGGAATTCATCTCTATTTGAAAATTTTTACTTAAATTATCCTTTTATAAATAATTAATTATTTTAATCAATTGCTATTTATTATAATAAAATTTTAGTTATTAATTAATAGTTAATTTATTGAAATAGATTTGATTCCTAGTTTTCACCTTTCATCCAATATTTAATGATAATTGCATGAATAAATAAACTTAAAAGTAAAGATACTAGTAAATTGTTTTGAAATGAAACATTATTAAATCTTAAATATTATTCCAGTAATATAATTATTATAATGGTATTGGATGAAAAGTATTGGAATTTTTCAGTGGAATTTCATAATAAGAATTATATTTATATATTTATGACAAGAAATTATTGTAAAATGTTCTAAAATTTTGTGTTGACATTCAAGAATTTAACATCGCACTCTATTATATGCATTTATTTTCTGTTTTCAAAGTTTAACTACCATAATATTATAAAGATTTATCGTATTATATCAATAATGTAAATTCTTGACCTTATAATGTCAAGAGTTTACCCTTCTCTTGATTCTTGACCGAACCCTCAAATTCTTGAAAGTCAAGACGGAATTCTTGACCCTGGTCACACTATTAGCAAGACAGTAGTAGAATACCTAATCATATTAAAAGCATTTCAAACATTTAATTCGTGATTATTTATAGAAATACACGAACTTTAATGTATGACATAAGGAGCGCGTTTTCTTCAATTCCAATTTATACGCGTATTATCTGTATAAATGACGCGAAAGGACAAGAGTTTAATGACTATTTTCTTAAAATAATTAAATCTATGAATACTTTACTAAATTTTAAATTCTATCGTACACATCAACTTAGTAATGTTATCGAAGAGATTAGTTTAATATAAATTATAATTAATTAAATAAAATTAATTAAATGGTGAAAACTGGACGGACTGATAGATTTCCAATATGTACCCTCATGTCATGACATATGTCATACGCGTCATGAAAGCCGCAGACGCATGTAGAATGCTACTAATATGATGTCATTGTATTGGATAAGCACTGCATCACTACATGACTACCCATTCATGCATTACGTCACACATAGGGTTCCCAGTTATCACGGTTGGCACCAACGAAATCATTTGTCATATGATTTTAACCAAAATACTATAATTAAATCTAAATATTCCTTGATATTCTTTGAGTATACACTCGTAATATTTTCATTGGGGATTTGGTATGCGATTAGTTTGCCAAATGTCCATTTAAGGGCTAATCAATATAGCAATTATTTAATTGTAATCCGGAATCTGGACCATAAAACTGTATAATTTATACTATGATAATAAGTCGAACCAAAGGATAACTAGTTTGTATTAATTATCACTATATCGATAATTTGTGTATGCACACATTTTCAATTATCTATTGAACGGATAATCCACTACTTAGTTTTTCTTCAGGGTTTTATAGCCCCAACTTACCCGTTTAAAAAAATTCTATATCCCTTATAAATACATCATGATACTGTAACTGCATTATTAAACATAGCAAAAAAGTTCCCGTATTTATTTTTAGTTAATTTGAGTCGAAAACAATTCCCTATATAAATAATAATTTACCTTCCAATGTTATATTGCTTTCCATTATGATAAATAAATAAAAATGGGAACTATTTTTGCCAAGTCTAATTACCAATTATCATGGTAAATTTATATGGCATCTAGTATATTTTTTAAAACCTATAAGTTGGGGCTATAAAACTCTAATAAAAGATTAAGGATTGGATTATCTGTTTAAGAAAAATCTATTTCCTGCTTGGTAGATACTGTAGTTCAGAGACCTCAAAATTATTTCAACAAAACAAAAAATAAGTGGCTCATAATTAATTTATTTCATATAGATTATCAGTAGATAAAGTTCTTTACAAACAAAAATATCATTACTATTTTTACTATATTCAGTCACTTTTAAATGTGCAATTTCTAGACATTTCTATTGATATATTGACTTTTAGTAGAGAATTTGTTTTCAAAAATATTCACGAACTTAACTAATAGAAACTAATCAGATACATTTCTATGAGTTAGTCAATATTTTAGACAAAAATACTAAAATAAATACTTTATTTAAAAATTACAATTAATTTGTAATTTCTAGTTAATATTATATAACTCTCACTCACACTAATGTGTACTATATTTGTGAGCCAAACATTTGAAGGATATTTAAAATGTTTGAGAGTTTGACTTCAAAGAGTCAAGCTTTGAGAAGTCGGCTGTAGTTAGTTCGAGACAAGTATGTACTGTACAGGATCATTTAATGTTAAATTAACCATTATTTCATCACTTTATCTCAAACCAAATGTTTGCACAGTTGCATATTATACTTTCCATTCAAACCATTGAATACTTAAATTTAATAATAATATCAATATTATCATGAAAATAAAGTTTATTTACACAAACATAATATATTTAAGAAATATATATAATTTATATAATAATAACATATTATGTTGTATAACAGATACTGTACTTGTACCTTTTTGTACGTTAGTTTCTGTTTAGAATTCAAGCTAACAGTTAATGAAAATATTAATTTAGTGTTTAGTTATATTTACTATAAACTTATATTAAAGGATAAACTTTTTGAATGACAAACAAAAACACTTTAAACATAATATTATATTTTATAATGAAATTGTTTCAACTATTTTCAACTAAAATATATGAAATTTATGTTTAAATAAATCCAATAGAAATGATAGAAAGCAAGGCAAGTGTGTGACCGGTGTTTGTCACGGAATCACAGCTTCATTTCAATTCAAGTCTCTATTATTTGAATAGATTTGTTGTTTCATTAAAGATTAGTAATTGTTTTGTTTTGGATGATAGAAGTGTTGTGAGGGTTGGTGTGGGGGTTGGTGTGTAGG